ATCTTAGAAGTGTTTGGTTACTAAAAATGCCAGTTCATTTCCCACATATCATGAACAGTCCTCATAGCTTGCGTCCGGCTTCTTTTGAGGACAGTAAAATGTCCTCGGCACCAGAAAATAAAGGCTTTTACAAAAACGTTACATCCAACTTCATAAAGACAATTTCCTGCATACATTGCACTGTACATTGTATGGAGGAGGCATTACATCGCCCTCTGTGTCCGTGTCATAGTACATGTAAGTCATTTCATATATACCACGGTTTGCCTGTACACTAAAAATCGTTTCCAATTTCAGTGTTTATTATAAAAATGCAGCAAACGGGAGGTAAGTTTGTGGCGTTGCTATTCCTCTCCGCTATAGTATTCAATCTGGCCGGTAAAGCATCCACCTCCACAATTGTCAGTTCTTATCCAAGTGGGCAGTCAACGGTGGAGTTTAACAACATGGCGATTGACAACGTGACTGGGACTGTATATGTTGGGGCTGTTAATAATCTGTATCGACTGGATGGCGACTTGAAACTGTTACAGAACGTAACGACTGGACCAGTCACTGATAGTCCTTACTGTAGTCCACCTCCTTACTGCCCACAAGGAACGCCAACAGACAACTACAACAAAATCCTAGTAGTAGACCAGTCTGGGGGTAAACTGATATCTTGTGGTAGCGTGTATCAAGGTACTTGTGAGTCTCGACCAGTCACTGATATATCACAGGTTACTCCGCATCGTGGCGGTTACTTTTTGGAAAATTATGTCGCCGCCAATTCTCCCGATGCTTCCACTGTGGCTTTTATAGCACCGGGACCCAACTCCCAGGACGTGTTATATGTGGCTTCTACGTACACGGGACAGGGGGAGAGTGGTAGGCTTCGGGAACAGGTGGCAGCTGTTAGTACAAGATCTCTACAGACACTGGAATTAACATACTACAGCGCACTGTCCGGTACAGGAACGTACATAACCCTCTCTGACACTGTTCGAAGCACGTATCCAGTGATTTACGTTTCTGGGTTCTCTTCGGATGGTTATAGTTATTTCATCACTAACCAAAAGACAACACTAACCAGTACAGAATATGAATCCAGATTAGTTCGAATCTGCCAGAGTGATGCAAACTATTATTCATACTTCGAAATGCCCTTGCGTTGCGCAGGGGCCAATCCGAGCGTGTCGTTCAATCTTGCAAAATCAGTATCGGTAACAAAACTTGGCAATGATAGTGTACTAGTGGGTACTTTTGTCAGAGGATCTAGTTCAGATTTGTGTGTATTTTCAATGGAGAATATAAACAACATTATTAAAGAGAAATACGAACAGTGCTACTCTGGGAGTGGAAATACTGAGGCTGCACATTTCCAGGGAGGTTCGCGAACATGTTCTTCTTTACCCGTAAGTTTACTTTTATTTGTTTCAACCACAGCTGTGCTCTTAATTTTAAATAATGCCGTAAATTTCATTTGTGCGTGGATTCTGTTTTAGGGGGATCTCGATAAACAAGAATATTTCTGCCATTTGTCATGCATTTTACATTTACTGGGTACTACTTTTGCATCCCCAGTCATATAACTACGGATCAAACTACTGTAGCCATGACTTTTACGGTGTAAACACTCCCCTGGTGTCAACCACCCCGGCAACAACAACCCCTGCTCTGACGGCCACGTGGCCCACATGGACAGTAGTAGCCACCACAACCACCACCAGCTACACTGTGGCTTTTGTAGGAACTGCTGACGGGCAACTAAAGAAGGTACCGCACAACTGAGTTATTGGTTTTCTTGTATTGATACGCGAATAGTACACGGCCGAATTTTTCGTTTGTTTAATTATGGAAATTATCTTCCAGGATTTAATAACGTACGATAAAACCTACCTACTAATTTTTTTAATCTGAAAGCGAACTTGATTATAAATAAGAGCTTTGTATTAAGTTGACGAAGTACTCGTTTTTGTTTGGGCATCAAAAACCGTATATTTAATAGGGAAATGATTTTCAATGTATTCTAGCTAAAGCATTTTTTCGCACATTTTGTTCAAACTTGTTTTTTAAAACATCCGTTTAACATATGCCCCAACAAACCTTTCGTGAACTTTCTAACCGTTGTCTTCAGATATTAATCCAGTCTAATGCATCTGCGGTAGAATATGCATCAGTACAAGTGTCAAAAGATGAGGTTAAAGATATACAGTTAGATAGCACAGGAGAGCACGTGTATGTTATGACCAAATACAAGGTGAGTGCTACAGAGCTGGCACTGAATGTGCTAGAAAAAGTAGCATGCATACGATTGTGTAGTTATATGTGGAAATGAACCAAAGTACATAAAAAAAAAACTTAAAATGACTCTTTTTGAAATTGAAAAAAGTCATAATCGGTATATACGATCTGAATTTTTAACTGTATTATTATGCTTTAAATTAGCCAATGAAAATCTAAGATGGGCGAGACCCCAATGTTTCATGTATATGGGATATCCATACAGTGTAACATTTTTATCTGCCCAAGAATTGAATGTAATGGGAGTAGGACTTTCAAGTTAGATTATAAAATGAGCCAAATATGTAAGTATATATCTTACTTTTCCCAGGTCAGTAAGTTGAAGGTAGAAGACTGCAGTAGTTACGGTAGTTGTGATGATTGTCTGGCATCTAGAGATCCTTTCTGTGGATGGTGTAATCTGGAGAACAAGTAAGAATATTGTGTGGACGCATTTAATCGATTTGCTTTGCATACCTGATGGCTAAAACCCGCTGTTTTTTTTAGAAGTCCGAGAACCAATTAAACATTCAATGTGTTCACATTAAAATGTATTATGTAATAACTACTTACTACGTTTTAAAATCTTGTTTACAATTGGCGCTAAATTGCATTCAGCTTAAACGGCTTATATGCTTTGCAAGGAGCGTGCCAGACAATTAAGCTGAATACATGCACTGACAGCACCTTAGCTACTCGTAGAATCCCCGCTGAGATAGAGCGATCCTGCTAGTACTGAAAGGTAATGAGAACGCAGTCTAAGAATAGAATATTGTGTGGACGCATTTAATCGATTTGCTTTGCATACCTGATGGCTAAAACCCGCTGTTTTTGTAGAAGTTTGAGAATCAATTAAAATGCAACGTGTTCGTATTGGAATTTATTGTTCAGACGTTACTTGCTGCGATTTCATTTCAAATTTGAATTTATGATTTAAAGTATGTCTGGCGAAATGTTCATATATTTTTTCCACGCGGTTAGTGTCTTACAAGAACCGACACAGACCGATATATAGCTAACGTTGAATGTGTGACTGAAAAACTACCGGTAACTCATGCTTACCTCACGCGAATCCTCTTTCTTGAATCCATTTTTGTCATCCAACATGATCCTATGTTATTGTAGATTGAAGGAAAGGTAATCTTTTAATGCAATGAACCTTCTGCATCTACTTCATGTGTTTATTTATTTAGATGCAGCAGAAAAAGTCAATGCTCGGATGCAGATGGCTCAGGAAGATGGCTTCCGTTTGACAACGGACAGTGTATCAAGATCAATACCATTTCACCATCAAACACACCTCTAGCCAGACCTACACAGGTACAAAGAATTGATATACACGTGGCATCATTTCATAACCAACTTTTGTTTTATTTGACAATGTTACAAAATATCTTCATATCGTTTGGTAGACTCGCTTGTATGGAGTCCAGAATAGAACAGCTTGTGCCAATGAACTTCACTGTTTTACCATACATCTATGCTCACGCGCAGTGAGGTGAATGACGTAGACCCCTTAGCTCAAATCAGAACACGTGATCTGCAGACTAACTGGACTGGGGATCAAATATGGCTTACCCCGCTTAAAAACGATTCAGTATAATTCTCTAATGGTCTCCACGCCCACCACACGCGTCGGGCCTGCAGGGGCCTATACTAGAAAATGAATGGATTAAATCTCGGCCCCAAGGTTCAATTGCCGACCACCTGCATGGATATCGCATTTGGGAGGCGGGAAGTCCATTGAAGGATTATGGTGGCACCACCTTTAAGTGGGTTGGCCAAATTTGATCCGCCTATCTGTAAGTCTGCGTATCAACTTGTTGTAAAAGTACCAATTGACTGAAAATCCCAAGCAAGCAGTACAATAACCGGTCACGTGACCACCGTGCATCGTAATACACGGAAATGCATCGACATGTGGATGTATGAAATGCGATTATGTTCATTAGTTTGATATACGTATTTATAAGTTATGATATAAGTAATCATCTTAGCAAAGCATTACTATTTCATTCATGTTTGTAGGTGAACCTATCTGTAAGCCTCCTACCCCCCGACCAGCCCTACCAGTGTCTATTTGATACCACAGCTGTCAGTGCCACAGTCACTGAAGGAAACTTGGTGACATGTGACACACCCACCAGCTTACCTACTATACCAACTGGGGACGGTAAGGTGTTATCTTTCTTGTACAGGGTGACCATCTAAAAAAAAAATCTACCTCACACTTACCCATAAATACATAATCCGACTATTGGCAATGCTCACCGATATATACCTGTAACATTAAGTGTATATCCAAAATCCAGGGTATCAAGGAATACGATTGTGCAAGATTATTGTCATGGGGGACTGAAAATGCCACATTTATCTTTCTTAANTGCTTCTTTACCCGTAAGTTTACTTTTATTTGTTTCAACCACAGCTGTGCTCTTAATTTTAAATAATGCCGTAAATTTCATTTGTGCGTGGATTCTGTTTTAGGGGGATCTCGATAAACAAGAATATTTCTGCCATTTGTAATGCATTTTACATTTACTGGGTACTACTTTTGCATCCCCAGTCATATAACTACGGATCAAACTACTGTAGCCATGACTTTTACGGTGTAAACACTCCCCTGGTGTCAACCACCCCGGCAACAACAACCCCTGCTCTGACGGCCACGTGGCCCACATGGACAGTAGTAGCCACCACAACCACCACCAGCTACACTGTGGCTTTTGTAGGAACTACTGACGGGCAACTAAAGAAGGTACCGCACAACTGAGCTGTAGCTTTTCTTGTAATGATACGCGAACAGTACACGGCCGAATTTTTCGTTTGTTTAATTATGGAAATTATCTTCCAGGATTTAATAACGTACGATAAAACCTACCTACTAATTTTTTTAATCTGAAAGCGAACTTGATTATAAATAAGAGCTTTGTATTAAGTTGACAAAGTACTCGTTTTTGTTTGGGCATCAAAAACCGTATATTTAATAGGGAAATGATTTTAATGTATTCTAGCTAAAGCATTTTTTGGCACATTTTGTTCAAATTTGTTTTTTAAAACATCCGTTTTAAATATGCCCCAACAAACCTTTTGTGAACTTTCTAACCGTTAATGTCTTCAGATATTAATCCAGTCTAATGCATCTGCGGTAGAATATGCATCAGTACAAGTGTCAAAAGATGAGGTTAAAGATATACAGTTAGATAGCACAGGCGAGCACATGTATGTTATGACCAAATACAAGGTGAGTGCTACAGAGCTGGCACTTAAGGGGCTAGAAAAAATAGCCTGCATACGATTGTGTAGTTATGTGTGGAAATGAACCTAAGTACATTTTTAAAAGCTTAAATTGGCTCTTTTTATAAATTGAAAAAAAGTCATAATCGGTATATACGATTTGTACTTTTATTTGTTTAATTATGCGATTTTAATTAAAAGTCGCCAACGATGATCTGGACATGGACGTGGCCCAAATGGTTCATGTATATGGGATATCCATAAACATGTAACATGTTTTTTTGCTCAAGAATTATATGTAATGGGAGCAGGACTTTCAAGTTAGATTATAAAACGAGCCAAATATGTAAGCATATATCTTACTTTTCCCAGGTCAGTAAACTGAAGGTAGAAGACTGCGGTAGTTACAGTAGTTGTGATGATTGTCTGGCATCCAGAGATCCGTTTTGTGGGTGGTGTAATCTGGAGAACAAGTAAGAATATTGTAATAATTGTCTGGCATCCAGAGATCCGTTCTGTGGGTGGTGTAATCTGGAGAACAAGTAAGAATATTGTAATAATTGTCTGGCATCAAGAGATCCGTTCTGTGGGTGGTGTAATCTGGAGAACAAGTAAGAATATTGTAATAATTGTCTGGCATCCAGAGATCCGTTCTGTGGGTGGTGTAGTCTGGAGAACAAGTAAGAATATTGTGTGTTTGCATTTGAACGATTTGCTTTGCATACTTGATGGCTAAAACCCGCTGTTTTTGTAATAGTTCGAGAACCAATTAAACATTCAATGTGTTCATATTAAAATGTATTATGTAATAACTACTTACTACGTTTTAAAATCTTGTTTACAATTGGCGCTAAATTGCATTCAGCTTAAACGGCTTATATGCTTTGCAAGGAGCGTGCCGGACAATTAAGCTGAATACATGCACTGACAGCACCTTAGCTACTCGTAGAATCCCCGCTGAGATAGAGCGATCCTGCTAGTACTGAAAGGTAATGAGAACGCAGTCTAAGAATAGAATATTGTGTGTAAGGATTTGAACGATTTGCTTTGCATACCTGATGGCTAAAACCCGCTGTTTTTGTAGAAGTTTGAGAATCAATTAAAATGCAACGTGTTCGTATTGGAATTTATTGTTCAGACGTTACTTGCTGCGATTTCATTTCAAATTTGAATTTATGATTTAAAGTATGTCTGGCGAAATGTTCTTATATTTTTTCCACGCGGTTAGTGTCTTACATGAACCGACACAGACCGATATATAGCTAACGTTGAATGTGTGACTGAAAAACTACCGGTAACTCATGCTTACCTCACGCGAATCCTCTTTCTTGAATCCATTTTTTGTCATCCAACATGATCCTATGTTATTGTAGGTTGAATGAAAGGTAATCTTTTAATGCAATGAACCTTCTGCATCTACTTCATGTGTTTATTTATTTAGATGCAGCAGAAAAAGTCAATGCTCGGATGCAGATGGCTCAGGAAGATGGCTTCCGTTTGACAACGGACAGTGTATCAAGATCAATACCATTTCACCATCAAACACACCTCTAGCCAGACCTACACAGGTACAAAGAATTGATATACACGTGGCATCATTTCATAACCAACTTTTGTTTTATTTGACAATGTTACAAAATATCTTCATATCGTTTGGTAGACTCGCTTGTATGGAGTCCAGAATAGAACAGCTTGTGCCAATGAACTTCACTGTTTTACCATACATCTATGCTCACGCGCAGGGAGGTGAATGACGTAGACCCCTTAGCTCAAATCAGAACACATGATCTGCAGACTAACTGGACTGGGGATCAAATATGGCTTACCCCGCTTGAAAACGATTCAGTATAATTCTCTAATGGTCTCCACGCCCACCACACGCGTCGGGCCTGTAGGGGCCTATACTAGAAAATGAATGGATTAAATCTCGGCCCCAAGGTTCAATTGCTGGCCCCTGCATGGATATCGCATTTGGGAGGCGGGAAGTCCATTGAGGGATTATGGTGGCACCACCTTTAAGTGGGTTGGCCATATTTGATCCGCCTATCTGTAAGTCTGCGTATCAACTTGTTGTAAAAGTACCAATTGACTGAAAAACCTCAAGCAAGCAGTGCAATAACCGGTCAAGTGACCACCGTGCATCGTAATACATCCACATCGAGATGTGGATGTATGAAATGCGAGTATGTTCATCAGTTTGATATACGTATTTATAAGTTATGATATAAGTAATCATCTTAGCAAAGCATTACTATTTCATTCATGTTTGTAGGTGAACCTATCTGTAAGCCTCCTACCCCCCGACCAGCCCTACCAGTGTCTATTTGATACCACAGCTGTCAGTGCCACAGTCACTGGAGGAAACTTGGTGACATGTGACACACCCACCAGCTTACCTATTATACCAACTGGGGACGGTAAGGGGTGTTATCTTTCTTGTACAGGGTGACCATCTAAAAAAAATCTACCTCACACTTACCCATAAATACATAATCCGACTATTGGCAATGCTCACCGATATATACCTGTAACATTAAGTGTATATCCAAAAACACGCTCACTTCTGTACAGCTTTTACATTTTAATTTTCATTCAACTTTTGAACGTGTATTTTAGAAAATAATATTTAATGTCCCTTGTGCCTTTCTTAGAATAATTGTTATGTTATAAATGTACCGCCCAAAAGTTGTAAAAAAGGGGCATAATAGCAACAATAATCCTAACAGAAATTCAATTATTTTTTCGATACAGGGCTTTGCCTATTGCTGCAACAATGGATCACGTTTGTTCTTTTAGAATCCATGTCTATTAAATCATGTATATTAAACCGCATGCCAAAAGAAGTATGATTATTGTTTCAGATCACATCACAATACCATTATCTATCAAATCATTAACGACAGGAGTCGAGTTTCTAAAGACAAACTTCATATATTTCGACTGCGGCGCACACTCAGGGTATTGTATTGTTATACATTATCTCTCTATCCTATTGCAATGACTGAGAAGTCCTTAAGTTGACGAAATAAATTTAAAAAATGTAATTTCATTGCTTAGATGTTACTTGCTGTCTTGTGTAATCGAAGCAATGTGTATTGTGAAAAGGAGTGTCACATTAACTCATTATTACATACGATGAGTATATGTGGCTAATCCTGTAGTTCTTATTGTTAGATATGTGTCATCTACCAGCAGTAGTTGGGTCTGTGACTGGTGTATATATGCTAACACGTGTATGTTTGTATTATTTCTGTAGGTGTGTGTCCTGTACCAGCAGTAGATGGGCCTGTGACTGGTGTATATATGCTAACACGTGTATGTATGTATTATAACTGTAGGTGTGTGTCCTGTACCAGCAGTACTAGTAGTTGGGTCTGTGACTGGTGTATATATGCTAACACGTGTATGTATGTATTNAAGTGTATATCCAAAAACACGCTCACTTCCGTACAGCTTTTACATTTTAATTTTCATTCAACTTTTGAACGTGTATTTTAGAAAAAAATATTTAATGTCCCTTGTGCCTTTCTTAGAATAATTGTTATGTTATAAATGTACCGCCCAAAAGTTGTAAAAAAGAGGCATAATAGCAACAATAATCCTAACAGAAATTCAATTATTTTTTCGATACAGGGCTTTGCCTATTGCTGCAACAATGGATCACGTTTGTTCTTTTAGAATCCATGTCTATTAAATCATGTATATTAAACCGCATGCCAAAGGAAGTATGATTATTGTTTCAGATCACATCACAATACCATTATCTATCAAATCATTAACGACAGGAGTCAAGTTTCTAACGACCAACTTCATATATTTTGATTGCGGCGCACACTCAGGGTATTGTATTGTTATACATTATCTCTCTATCCTATTGCAATGACTGAGAAGTCCTTAAGTTCACGAAACAAATTAAAAAAAAAATGTAATTTCATTGCTTAGATGTTACTTGCTGCCTTGTGTAATCGAAGCAATGTGTATTGTGAAAAGGAGTGTCACCTTAACTCATTATTACATACGATGAGTATATGTGGCTAATCCTGTAGTTCTTATTGTAAGATGTGTGTCCTGTACCAGCAGTAGTTGGGCCTGTGACTGGTGTATATATGCTAACACGTGTATGTATGTATTATAACTGTAGGTGTGTGTCCTGTACCAGCAGTAGTTGGGCCTGTGACTGGTGTATATATGCTAACACGTGTATGTATGTATTATTACTGTAGGTGTGTGTCCTGTACCAGCAGTAGTTGGGTCTGTGACTGGTGTATATATGCTAACACGTGTATGTATGTATTATTACTGTAGGTGTGTGTCCTGTACCAGCAGTAGTTGGGTCTGTGACTGGTGTATATATGCTAACACGTGTATGTATGTATTATTACTGTAGGTGTGTGTCCTGTACCAGCAGTAGTTGGGTCTGTGACTGGTGTATATATGCTAACACGTGTATGTATGTATTATTACTGTAGGTGTGTGTCCTGTACCAGCAGTAGTTGGGCCTGTGACTGGTGTATATATGCTAACACGTGCACCCACGCCAGCAGTACTTGTAGTCCTAGTGGAGGGGTGATACCCGGAAAGAATGTACGTTCAATTCTTTGTTAATTTCCCCGTGTATACCTTATTTCTTGAAAATTTACATTAAGCCAGATAATACTGGTCACTCATACAGACATATGTTGTTTTAAGTAAATGTGTTTCGTACTGGTTCTCTTAATATAAATATGTCAACGAACAAAGAAAAAAATCCGTTTCTGATGCTTGTGAGATACGAAACACCATTGAAATGAGAAATGAATGAAAGTTTTTAGTTATGCACAATTTTTTTACTTCGGCGTTCAAGAACGGAAATATATTTTATTAATTAGAAATGGCACTGTCTTGTTTCCGTCATTTCAGAGTCATGTCAGCGTGGGTATTAAAGGACCCACCCTGTGTCCCCAGCTTCTGCCACGTGTACAGGACGTCCTGTTACCTGCTGAGGTCCCCAAGGTGATCTCACTGAGTGGGAAGAACCTACCTGTGCCACAGGTAAAGATTCACGTAAATGTGGTTATAAAACCCGTTGTTGTTAGCAGTCTGTACTTGTAGTTATACACTCTTCCTACTTATGTTTTAATTCATTTTCGCGATATACATACTGTACCTGAGGATTATGGGAAGGTAAACTGTAATTTTTCATTCTTACCATAAAGCAAGAGTTCAGTTCCAAGTCAGTGTCTATGACAAGGCTGACATAAATGAGACCTTCGAACTCAAAACAAAATTTGATTAGGAATATATGAATGAAGCCCCACATTTGCTGTACTCTGCAGTCATTTTGGTTATTCTCAACCTAACCTCAATGATATTCCAGGCTGGCCAAGGTGATTATCAGTGTAAGATAGGCACTAACACAGTCCCAGCTATCAGACAGAATGATAGTGTCATAGACTGCCAGAGCCACGCTGTGAGTAGATATGATGCAAGGCATATACACGTACTGTATATATGATATAATCTTTTAAATGTCACGCTATTTTACAGTAGCTGATAGAATAACAGATCGAATATTTGTGCCCTCAGAATACTGATTTTGTAAGGCAAGTGACCGTATCCAAACCCCAACTTATGCATTCTATGTAGAAGTTTTGCAACTTCAGGAATGCCTTATATATTTAGATCTACATTCATACAATTATAATTGGCTGCTTGTTCTTCTCATATCTCAGTATGTGTATACAGCCATCACAGGCCAGGAGAGGCATGAAATCCAAGTATTCTGGAATAATAACCATGTGATAGACCAACCCATAGGCTCTCAAGTGAGCGGTAAGTGTATTGCTATTTTTACATGTGCTGCATATGTATACGTTCCCGTCTTTTTCCCTGTGAGGCGCATATTTTTACGCACGAGTTACAAAAGGAATGATCTCATTATGTACAGACACAGATGTGTCTGTACATATAGCCATCATCTGCGTCTGTCGTCGTCGCCGTCGTGCACTTTTACCGATAACACGATAAGTGGAAAACTGTTTTTTATTTCAGCTTGAAACTTACAGAATTGATGAATATTCATAATACGCAGGTAAATTCGAAAATCAGCATGATCGGGTGACTTGTAGGGAAGTTANGCCAGAATCCTAAGCCACTTAAACTGAAAGCAATTTAGTGAGAAACCCCTTGGAGTTGGATTGATCCAGTTAGATTGATCTAGGTATGGGAACTCAGTCTAATGCTTGTTACACATTTTACTTTCATCCTAATTCAGTGTTATGCAGAATTAGAATTTGATGTTGGCTATGCAGTTACAGTAAGCATAATACATTAATGCAGCAAAATTGACAGCTTTAGTGCTTTTTTTTCTGTTTTTTTGTCTGTACATTTGACAGCTTTGCTGCCTTGTTTTTATAATGGGATAAAATGCCTTCTTCATAAGCGCACAAAATATAGTAATTGTTTCATTCAACCGATCGTCTAATAAAAATTATTATTATTATTCCATTTTGGTAAAAAACAGAATAACGCCCAAATCTCCTCAATAATAAGAGATCTCCTAAAATGGAAACATACTGCATGCATATGAACTACTATTTGTAACACTTACACACATTTTGGATACGCATACATGTATTCATGTTGAACATGTATTGATTATTTGGTAATATTTTCAATAATTTTTAGCCACCCTGTACAAATGTGACGTCATGGGGAGCACATGTGGCACATGTATTGGTGGTGTGGATACAAAATTTGGCTGTGCTTTCTGTGGAGGGACGTGCAAGTATCGACCAACGTGCAGTGCACCAGCTAAGAGCACTTGTCCTGATCGGCTGTTTCACAATCAGGGTGAACAATTAAATGTGGTGAATGTTACAAGTGTCTGATAAATTAACAATTTATAATTGGAGATTGCTGATAGACTAATATTAAAGACACTGTTCACAGGAGCAAAATAAAAAAAGAATTATAATAATAGGATTACCATTTACAAAAATATAGCCAATTATGTGTTCAAAAAGTACCCATTTTAGCTGTTGCGGTGGGTCATTTGCAATTAAGGTCATAAAGATGATGCACTAGCTCTTTATGTCAGTGATTTATGGTGAATAAGATAGTGGTATATAATTCCCACAACATCTGTCTCCTATTCTAGCAGGTTCATCCAAAGATATGTTCTGAGAAAAATAAATATTTTAACCATTTTGCAGATACGGGCTTTGATACACATTTTACTTATTTTTGTTAATGCAATGAAAAACATTTGGTGCCAAATGTAGTGTCCGTACCCCCAAGTTATACATTAACCATTTGATAACTTATCAATGATGATAAAACATCAAAATATGGTATAAAATATTGTTTTAGACTATATAAAATGCATTCATGTCTTGTGATGTTTAGAAAAACATTGTATAAAAATATATATTCAATAAAGTGATACTGATTAATTAGAGTCAGGCAAGAGATTTTGCAAAGAAATAAAATCAGTAAAGGTGTTACTGTTTGCATTCAAAATGAACAATATTGGTTTGAATATATTGCCAAATATAACTAATTGCAAAATAATAAACTGTATATATATGGATTCATATTCTATGGATTAATGTATATGATATATTTTGGTACGAACACGGTACGAACACTTCAATACATGCATAATTAAAAGTACATTTATTATACTCTCAGTGAATGAAGTATCAAATATGGATGACAATAAACAAAAAGCCAAATAGGAAAAGAAAAAGGGATCCTGAAAATTTTACTTTCAGCAAAAAATAATTTGAAAAAAAAGACGTCAAAGAGCTAATATCCGTATAGATAATCTTGCTGAAGCACGTAAGGAAGACGTTATACGTTGAAAAGTTGAATGCACGTAACACAGAAGTTTAAAAAAACGAAGAATCATCCTAGGCTGGCCCAGCAAGAAAGACTA